AATAATTTTAGGAAAATGATAATGGAAAGATTTGGAACTGTTTTAATGAAGCTATGAATTAAACCAGCTGAACATAGTTCCCTACAGAAATAGCTTTCTCAGTAAAGTCATCAGCATGGGTGAGGTTCTCATTTAAGGACTCAGATTTTTAGACATGGGTAAAATCCTAACCTTGGGGGTAATGTCAAATTACAGTGTCAGAAATGTCTGTATTCTACCTGCCAACAGTCTTACACAGGATGGGATCGTCTACATGCCAAGGACAAACTTTCAAAGAGCAGCAATTTGTCTTCCTCTGGCCCAGCTTCTCATCCTTTCCCTCTAATAATCTATTTATTATTTATGCATTTAATTTATTGCTCTCTAAGCCTTTGTAATGTGTCTCTCACCTGAGTCTCTGCTGTACCTGAAACTTTCTCCCAACCCAGCTGACACGCTACAGCCAGAGTGGACTTTTGAACATACAAATCTACCATGTTTCTGGCCTTTTTCTAATGCTTCAGTCACGTTGGGGCATTCTGGCCCTCCCTTATATTGACTCTGACATCTCTACTTTGCTCTAACTTTAAAATGTGCCCATAAAAATTTAATTTATGTATTCAATTTTTTTCCATTGCTGGAGTTGAAGCCAGAGCCTTGCACTGAGCCACATCTTCAGCCCTCAGATTTATTATTGAAAATTATTGTAGAAAAACTCCTGCTGTGACTACTATGTTAATAATCCCTCATAACTGCACTGCATATTCCATCCTATAAGTTGATTTCATGTAAATAATTTTATTCAGTATTCATGTCATCCTTGCAAAACCATTCATTAGTGTTCCTCCCTCACAGCTGAGATTCAGAAAGGCTAAGACATGTGATCACACAGCCACAAGAAATGGAGTCAGGTCCTCCACACATCAAAACCAGTGCTCATGCAATGATGTAAGAGTTTGTAGACTGCCTGGTCAACCACACAGCCCTGGTTGAAAATTAGGCATAAAGAAAGTATCTGGTGATGGAGCCAGGGTCCCTACCGCTCCTGAATGCCTTACATCCCGGTATCAACAACTCTGAATCCTCTGATTCTATTCCACCTCTGGCTGCTCTGGAGCACTGTGAGTGAAGAGATTGTGGATTTGAATGAACCCAGATTGCATCTCGTTATACACCTCAAGTCTTCTCTCTCCTACTTCCCATGGGGCCAAGCTGATCAATGCCCCCCAAAGTTGAACCTGTACAAAGAAGGGCAAGAGAGGAGGCTAAAGTCATCCTCTAGGACTGCCCATCACTCTCTCCCCTTCCAGGATTCCCATATCCGAGATCTCCCACCGTGGACATAGTGGGACCCACTGAACTTGTTAAGCCACAACAGCCAACACCACAAATGACTCCAGGCCACTTGATGGCACCTAGGAATTAGGCATGGGATTCCTGTACATTACTCCTCAAAGAATACTGTTTTGACCACCAGCCAACATCCAAAGGCCAGCCCTTTGCTTTCCTTGGCTCAAGGTTTCCTACATTGTCCTGTAACTGAAAGATAATGACAGAATTCCATCAGTCACTCTGGGTATGAAGGGCCATCTGTCTGTTCCCTTAGGTCTAAGAGTCCATATTTCAGTGATCAGAAGATTCTAGAAGTTTGTACTAATGAATCAGTCTTCTCCCTGTACCTCTGCCTATCTGCTACTGAACACAAGAATGTTCTGGGGTATAGCCCACAGGAGGTCCTCACATAGTTGAAGCATTCTTCTTCCAGAAGCTTCTCTGAAATAGAGTAGCGCTAGCATGCTCTGGACAGGTTCACAGTTCTCAGCGTTCTGAGCCCCAGAAGGCAGCAACTACCCCACTAGGCTCAGTGAATCTTTTCAAGCATAGAGCTGTGAGTTGAACAAGCGTCTCACAGTGAGCCAGGGAAGCCAAGGACCCCAGGGACTCATTCCAGCCTTTTAATCACAGGGCCCGACTCTGCTGTCCTTTGAGGAAGGCAGATTATACTGTTAACTGCATGAGCTATGAGTCAATTAAACACTCACCACTCAACCTGGACCCCTCAAGCCCTTTAGCCCCCACCCATTTGGATTTTTCAACTACCCTTAACCCCAGTTTTCAGGCCTTCTGTTTACGTGTTGTATTTCTTCCAGTGCGTCTGAATTTCTGACAAGTTTCTCAAGTCCCTTTTCCCTGGCCGGATTTAACTCTTGCCCTGCTTTGATTGGCTGTCTTCATATGCAAACAATGAATGGGGACAGGTCAAGTGCGAGTCCCAATGATGTCCACTCAAGAGGACCACTCATCTTAGGGTGACGCTGCTGTGTGTGACAGCATTCTTTCGTCACCTCTCTTAAGCATCCTAGACAGTGCCAACATCCACATGCTGCAGAGTCAGAGTCTGGCATGGGTTGGCCCCCCTTACCTGTGGAACTGAAAGTCAATGTTGGGGTTCCCAGTGACAAACCCAGAGCAAGATGACACATGTCTTAAATGCAGAATACAACCTGTGCTCTTTTTCTTATAGTCAGACAGGGCTGCTGCTGAGTTTTATCAGTAATTTTTGCACAGGACTTAACACCACAGTCAAGTCCTGGTGCTTGGGGTTTGGTTGTTTTAACACAGTTCTGAAATATTCCTTAAGGGCAAATGCTGGTCACTTCAGGTACAGGGTTCCACACATGACCTAACCCACCTGCTGATACCTCCACTCTTGGAGAGGGCTTGATCGGTTTTATGGCGCTTAGAAAGTTAGCTCAACTTTGAGGGTCATTTCCCACTTAGCTCTAGGAAAGCAGATTAGCACCCTAAGACTTTCCCGTAAGGGCAGTTGATGGGCAGAATCCCTCGCCCAGAGCCTTTTGACTATCAGGCTGTCTTCACTGCAGGATCCAAACCCACCATCCTGGGTGGGGGCCAATGGCTGTCTCATTATGGTTCACTATGGGCCTGGCATTTAACTGGACTCTTCTCTTTCCTCCTCTTGCTCTGGAATAAACACACATCATCTTGCCACAAAGGTGACGATGCTTTTGTGATGTGACAAGCATTTCTGAAAAGGACAAGGATTTACTGTTCACACTTCTGGTGACATTTGAACAGAGACTTGGGGCTGGCATTTAAGTCTTTCTTGCTGACTTCTCAGGTAGTCAAATTCCAGAGAACATAATCGTGTCTGAGACCATTGTGTCTCCCAATCACAAGGCAGGTGTCTTCCTTGAGGCACCTGGGGGTACAGTGTGGAGCCTGCAAGAAAGGGACTGTGCAAGGAGAGAGAGCAACACCCAGAATCAGTTGAGAAAGAGGAAAGAGAAGTGGTAATGGGGCTTGTTTTATGCACCAAGCACAAGACGGGGTACCTCACAAAGCTCTCTTTCCTCTAGTTTGGACCATCCAGTGAGGTGGGTGGATGCCTATTATGAGTAACTACTGTCCTCCCAGCCAAGGAACTGCCATCTTGGGGAGTTCAGCTGAGCACCCTTGCAAAAGGATTATCCCAGCTGGGCTAGTTGGCTGTTTATATCCCTTCATGGACATTGAGGAGGGTCACGAGACTCTCACCTGCGTATCCAGCTGCTCTCTAACCCCTAACGTATGCAATGCTGCCTTGGGCAGGAACTAGAGTAGAGAGGCTAGTGTAACTGAGATGGGGTGGGGTGGTAGGGGTGGTGTCGGGGGAGGTAAGGTGTGGTGATATTTTATTTGTGCTGGAACAAATACAACTTATCTGGGGATCAGAGAACAGAACAGCCACTAAATTAAACATAGCGGCCAGGCAGTGGTGGCACACACCTTTAATCCTATCACTCGGGAGGCAGAGATCTGTCTGGATCTCTGTGAGTTCAAGGCCACACTGGAAACAGAGCCAGGCATGGTGACATACACCTTTAATCCCAGGAAGTGATGTCAGGAAGCAGAAAGGTATATAAGGCGCCAGGACCAGGAACTAGAGGCTTTTAAGCTTTTAGGCTTAGCAGCAGTTCAGCTGAGATCCATTCAGGTGAGGACTCAGAAGCTTTCAGTCTGAGGATTCATGGAAACAGGATCAGCTGAGGAGTTGGCGAGGTGAGGTTGGCTGTGGCTTGCTCTGCTTCTCTGATCTTTCAGAATTTACCCCAATATCTGGCTCTGGGTTTATTATTATTATTATTATTATTATTATTATTATTATTATTACTATTATTACTATTATTACCATTTAGCAATTTGACTACAGTAAGGGGGGTCCCATTTATGGCTATGGGGAAGCCTTCATCCATGAGGGCTAAAGGCTTTCCAGGTGTGGCATTTTGGGGATGGAGCATCCATACTCCTGAAAGTAACCCCTCACCTATGCTCTGTAAGGAAGCCCAATAAATTCATTGGTTCCCCAGAGTAAACTCTGGTTGGCTCCTAGGAGGAGGGTGGATGCAGTTTACATCTCCCCCTGGGGAGGAACATTACCTAGCAGAATATGAATTCTGTTCACCCCAGGAGGTTCATTCAGGAGTGAATTCTGTTCACTCCGGGAGGAGACATGGGCCCCACCTGCATGGGGACCCTGAAGTGACCTGCCTCCAAAGAAAAACAAAGGCCCCAAGTTGGCAGAGAAAAGTGGAACTAGGGTCTGCGGATTGAAGCACCTTCACGCTTCGCAGGTGGGTGTGGCTGCTCCTAGCTCCGCCCCCGGCCCCCACTCCCTGCAGCGCTGGGCATGCTAAATGGCTGCCCTTCCTGTTACTGAACTTCATTTCTTTTTAAAGGCAGGGTCTCACTGTGTAGCCCAGGTGGTCTCGAACTCATGATTCTCCTACTCCTGCCTCAGAGGGCTAGGATTCTAAGCATGTGCCATCACACCTGATTTGTAGCTTGGGCATTTAGCATCTCCTAAAGGTCCCCAAGGTGACACCACTGGGAAGCGGTAGAACCTTTAGGAAGAGGCTCCGAGACCCCAGCCTCTTCCTGTCTCGGACTTTCCACCACGATGTGCTGCCACAAGCCCAAAGGCATGGATGGGGCTGAATAACCACGGAGCCAAATAAACCCAGGAGACAAAAATAACTTTCTCTTTATAAGCTGTCAAATTCACGGAAAGCTGGGCAATAACCCCCGACAGGATTTCAAGTGGACAACAGTAGCAGTATCACTGGTGTCCCAGCCAGAGTGGATGACAGGCACGGTCATGAAGGTCATGCCACCAGGGGCCCAGACCCCAGACCCACCAGCCACTGCATACCCACTGCTGCATTAAAGATGCAGCAACCGTCGCCTTGGTTACTGGCTCCCGTGATGTGGTCACACAACTGTGCCAGAGTGAAGACCAGGGTGCACTAATAGGAAGTGCTTAATCCGCACTCAGATGGGGCGGGGGGGGGGGGGGGGGGGGAGAGAGCAGGACATCTAATATGTGCATTTCCCAAGTTCTGTGGTGTCAACGCTTTCATCATGGGCAATGTCCAGGTACTAATGACGTCAGTGAACTTGAGGCTGGGAAGGCTGAACAGGAGCACACAATCACATGACATCCATATTTCTACCACAAAATTGACAGCCAGCACTTACGGAGCACACGGAATACTAAATGTATGTTAGGAAGTGGGCTTGTAACTACACATCTTTGTCTTCTGCGTAAGTAATCACAGCTTACATAACTTTGGTTTTAACAGTGGCTGCATTTAACAACTGCCAGCAAATTCCCTATAAAACAGAACAGTTGGTTCCTGTAAGCCCTGATGAGCCACATCAAATACACAGCTCCCTGGAAAAGGAGAAAACATGGTTGCCACACAGTAGCCAAGGGCCCAAGTTCAAGACATAGAAAAGCCTCTCTGGGGCACCCAGGAATGTTGGGGAAGAACTGCATGGGGTGTGGGAGGTGTCAGGAATGGCCACATAGCGGTCAATGTCTGGAGGTTGTCTTTTGGTTGTGGCCGTTTCTGGATCATAAGCAGCAACTGAGACCCAACCCCCTAGGTCTGACTCAGGTCTTCCTGTACTAACAGAGCTGTGAGGAATGTGCTGGACATTCTCATCCCATCATATGCAGTTCTCTGTGAGGAAAGAACATCCCTCTTCCCAAACAGGGACCCTACCTTTCCTCGGAAATGCCCACCAGCTTCCTGAAGAAGCTCTGCCTTGCTTAGCTCCATCTCCCAGGAAGAGTCCTGTCATAAGAGCAGTCTGGAATCCCTCCCTCCCTCCTTACCTCCCATGCTTTGCTTTGGGGCTCAAGCTTGGAGCGGACGCAGTGGGGAAGATGGCCGGTTTGGGTCTAAGGACCAGGGGAGGGGAAGGCTCTACAGAGTCACATGCCAGAGCACAATGTGGAACGAAGCAGCCCAAGTCCCCCCCCCCCCAAAAGAAAGGGCTATAAAACGGATCTGCGTGATAACACAGTGTGAGTGCAATTAATTGTTGTCAAAGCATTTTGCTGGCTGCATTCATCTCTTACGTGGGAGAATAAAACTGTCATAATGATGACAATTTTATTCAACATTGGTGCAATTACCAAGCCTAAAAATAGGGCGCAGAGGGGGTATTTTTCTTGAGGCTGAGCTGTTACCCCTGTTGCGTGGCTGGGACTGTCACCACCACCCCCTACCCCCAGCCCCAGGAAGGAGAGAGGACAGGAAGAAAACAGACTCGCTGAGAATTGCTACTATGAGACACATCTAGTTTTGTTTGCTGTTGTTTTTTTTTTTCCCCTATATAATCACAGGCACATCAGAGGGAGGGGCAGTGCAGGGAGGACCAGGAAATGAGATTTTCTGGGACAAGATTGTAGAGACAGGCTCTCTGCTATGAGCTCTCTAGACACAGTTGACTTATCACACCCATGGAGGCGGTATGCACCTTCTGTGACAGACGAGAAAGCAGCGTCTCACAAAAGTTAAGCATCACAAATTCGCCAACTGTCTTTCCGATTGCAGTCCGGCACCCCAGGTTGCTTGCCGTGAGACACGTGAGGCTTACTGCTCAGCTCCTGTCCTGTCCATCATCACTCTCGCTCTATCTTTCACATCCCATCACCCCCCTCCTATACCGTGTCACTCTTTTGAGAATGCAAAAATATCACGGCCCTAGAGGCAAAAAGACGCTGGCTGGCAACTTGGCAAGTATGACTGGCCAGGGTCCTTGACCTCTGTAAGTTTTGTACCAAAGCTTTCAACTATGACTGTGAAGACATTCACAGTTCCTCCTTCATAACATCATTGTGGGGACGGAACGAGATATAGATAGAATGGTTGGCAGGAAGGTGGGGCATTGGGTAGCACGTAGATGCCAGGGCAGAACTTCCCGTATAGAGTACTCACCATTACCAGGCACACCGGACGTGAAGTCACACCATCTTTACAGTAAGCCAGGAGGGAGCCTGGCATTCTTCTCTCCCCTTAGCAAAGGTTGACCTTAAGTGACTCACCACCATCCAGGTCACACAGCACAGCCACACAGGGCTACCGCAGAGAAACGGGGCCCATACTCCAGGCTAGCTCAGGCACAGGCTAAGCCCCTGAAACACCCTGACCTGTGCTTGGTACATGGGTTCTATCTTGCTCAACAAAAACATTTCCTTTGGATTCTTGAGGCTCCGGGAAATTTGAGGCATTTCTCCTGCCTTGTTCTCGCCTTTCTTTCATGGGGCATACAATGAGAGACAAAGTTAGCCGCCCAAGCAAAACTCCGTGGGAAGAAGCCTGCGTGGTTAAAGCCACGCCCCTGACCAGCTGTGCATGTCTGTAAGCAGCTCTTCTCCTTTATGGAGGCACCTGGCACACACCTGCACTCCGTCAATAGCCCATCCACCTTACTTCTACCATCAGGAAAATGAGCTTCTCCTGGGGGACTGGAAATTAGTTGTAACTCCCGTGAGATCACTGGACTTATTTCCCAATCACAACTGACGGCAGGGGAGTTTCCAACGTGTTTCTTTCAGAAAGGTAAGAACTACCATGTTAAAGGCCTAAGGGAAGAATCGCTCACATCCCTGAAAGAGAGCCGTGCCCCCGAGCACTCCTACCAAAGCTCTATGCTTTCAAATCCTTCCCCACAAAAGTCAATGCTAGCCATTGAACTCTGGCAGGACCCCAAGCTAAAGGGACAGAAGGGGCACGTTCTCTTAACCTCAGACTTCAGGTTCAAAAGCAGGTCTTCAAAGTTTCCTCTCTTTAAAACCGAGAAAACAACCGGATTTTGTGGAGGATTCAATGTGCCAGAAAAGTATAAAATGTAAAGCCTTGGCGTGTGAATGTCCTGATTCCACATTAACAATCTTTGATATTGGTGTCTCCTGTCAAAAGCTACTACTTCAGGCCCTTTTGGAAGAAAGTGAACTTTGAAACAGACTCACCCTGAGAGGCACACAGATCCCTTCTTTACCTTCTCCATGTCAGTTGCTTTTTTTTTTTTTTTTTTTTGCAAGATGGTGATGGAGTTTGCTTTGCACCTGCCACCCAGACTTCACTGCTTGCTGGCCGTAACTAGCCATCCTGCGAATGGTACCCAGGGGAGGCCATGCAGCCTCAACAGTAGCAAGGGCTCTGGCCAAGGGAAAACCTCCTCCCCCCACCTCCCTGTAAAGGCTATGGTTTTATACTGCTGCTGGGCCCCAGGGAATCTGCATTTTGTAAAGGCTATGGTTTTATACTGCTGCTGGGCCCCAGGGAATCTGCATTTTGTTTTTGTTCTTCCTCGTGAGTTTTATTTTTTCTTTCTCCCTGTTTTGTTTTCTGCAGCATTTTTAGAAACACGGTGTCGTTTTGAAACTGCTTTTTCTACCTGCTAGTTTGCCAACCATCTGGAGACACATCCAGCCCGGGATGGATTGAAAAGAGAGAGCCGGTGAGGTGACTTGCTGAAGTTGTTGCTGCATTTTAAACATAGCACACAATGTGTTACACAAACACCATTCAAAAACCTGAGTCACAGGATTCAGATGGGAGCGTATATAAATAGCGCGCGCGTGTGTGTGTGTGTGTGTGTGTGTGTGTGTGTGTGTGTGTGTGTGTGTGTGTAACAGTAGAAAAGCAAGGAAGTTTGGGGAATCAGGTCAAAATCATTGTGCCCAATTTAAACATCATAAAAATCTCAGCCTTGTCACTGTTTACACCCCCTCGTACAACTCCCACCCCCCAAAAAGGAGCAAAAGCCAAGTGGAAAATTCAAATCGGCGGATGTCCCCACGTTGAACCGGGCAGCACAAAGGCTGTGCAGCATCGACTGAAGTGATAATTACGGTGTCTCACTTCCCGGCTGCCCATACCCTTGTACACAGCAGCTCTCTGCATCTGGACTTCAAACTGCTTTGAGGTTTGCTTGTTATTTTAGGCTTTGGCTCATGCCAGGCAGATGATTTGGCATGTCACGACTCTGATGGATTTTTGGTGCCGTGGCAGGACACATCTTGGGATGGTGAAGAACTCACACCTGGGACATGTTGCAAACATTTAAAAAAAAATCCATTTTCTCACACTCCCCTCCCCAGTTCGCATTGGGCATAACTTGCTGCCAACAAAATAGAACAAGACTCTTGGGTAGCCCATGGTATCCTTGAGAGTCTCAATCATCTCTGAAGACGTGGCCTTGGCCCCGAGTCTTTCTGTCCCTTGGCTGGTACCTTCTAGCTTCCGGCCTCATTCCCGCCATGCAGGCAGGCACTCCATGTGAACTTGCAAGTTACTGATGCTCAGAGAAGTGGAGGAAAAAAGCAACAACCTCATCTCCAGAGGTTGAGTGTTTCATCAGCTACAAGCTGGCACCCCCGACACTCAGAGGGACTCTGCAATCCATGTGGGATGTGAACAGCAAAGGCAGCAACACACACAGCAACAACAGACACACACGGGTCACATGACCCTGTCTGCTGTGTGACTCCAGCTCCTTCCAATCAGTCTCTGCCAAGCTGGGTGTCTCCATCATCCCCATCTGGCCCTTCCCCAGCCACAGCCGCAGTGGTTCCCAGCCGCAGCCTCTCCATCAGCAGGAGTTAGGAGCTCACCAAGGTGTAGATCATGCTGGATGCAAACAGAAATGGGAAAACAGATGTCAGCAAGAGCCTGCGGCCCTCAACAGTCCCCTTCCAAGGCCGGAGCCCATGCATTCACCTCATTCCTGTCTCTATGGTCTCCGACTCACCTACGGAGGCTTTGCTACACCCCACAATGCAGAAATGTTTGTCTGTTAGGACGGCATCCCGTGACCCCCGTGAAAGGTGTGTTGTCTCCGGATGCCTGTGAGCACACATCACTGGAACGATCACTGTGGCTCATCGCTTTTCTTGCACTTATGAGCCAGGTGCCTGTGGGGTCAGGGCACAGCAGATTCTTCATGCCACCAGCTGCTGTCACATGCTCACATGATGGCTATGTCCAAGGGTCCCCAGGTGATGCTACATAATGTGTCAGTTCCAAGGGTCAGGATGAAGACTGTTGTCACCGATGCAGGTGTGGGTGCATGAACACAGTCCTCGGGGCAAGTAAGTGAATCTTAACTTGGTATAGGTCCCCAAACCTCCTGCTTTAGGGGATGAGTAGTGACCAAGTAGGGGGACCTGCATTCCTGTGGTCGGGCAAGGGCTTCAGGCTGATTCTGCAAGGCGGATGGGTTGACCAGAACTACAGGCTACTACTTTTGTCTATTTAGAGGAGGAAGAAACACAGCTTTTTTTTTTTTAACATTATAGACCCCTCCCCTAACTCTAAGAAGGTGTCTAAGAAGCAAAACCAAATAAAAAGCACCTGAACTATTTTCGTTCTAACCTGCACAGCTAGGGCACCACTGGGCGCCTCTGGAGTCTCGCATCTAGAGCCAGACATGGTTGGGCCTGGAGTTAGACAGATGGCTTCTCACAGCTCATGACAGATCAACCACATTCTAACTCCAAAGCTAGTCCTCTGTCCGTTGTGGACTGAGCCTAATTGTGGATAACCCTGTTTAACTTACCGTGATTCTTTTATCTGGGATTCATGGAACACCTACTACGTACCAAGCACCATTCTCGGCGCAGGGAAATAATAGTGAGCCTGTGGCCTGAACCCTGACCATGAAGGAATATGCAGCCAAGCCATGACAACAAACATCATGGATTTAGTGAATGCCTACTATGTGCTGTGTGCACTGGGCGGCTCTGCATGGACCCCCATCCCTTAACATGGCCCAGGTGAGGGCTCTTGCTCTCTCTGCCCGTTCTGGGTCTGGGGTTGGGAACTCCCCAGGTGGAAGAAACGGGGCCTTCGAGAAAACACGAGAGGCACTTTGATGTCGGGTGCAGTGAGGAATGCAGGCACAGGAGCTGGTGCATGGGCTGCAGGAAGGCAGATGAGTGGCGTGTACAACTGTGCCTGGAAGACAAAGCCGTGGGTGTGCTACAAATGCCATGGCAAACCTCCGCTGAGACTAGAGACAGAAAGTTCAATGGCCTACGAAGGACTTAGTCATAGAATTAGCACTCCCAGCTAAGGGCCCGGAGCCACCAACCTTGTCCACGGAGCCCCATGGCCCAGCAGGCAACAGACAGACAGGAATTCTGGGAATTCCTCTACCTTTGGCTCCAACAGCTCAAACCCCAAATGAAGGGCCCTGCTTCAGTCTCCCAAACTAAGATGGATCTCAGGATAGTGGGCCAGGAGCCAGGGAAGGCCTAGCCACGTTCTCCTTTAAAGAGGGTTGCTGCGATCTGGGGACACGCCGCTCAGCCCATGACTGAAGGTAGCCTGTAGCCTCATGAAGAAAATGAGGCCGAGTTCACACCAGAGAAGAAACTCCACCTGTAAGTGGCCTCTGCCTTCAGACAAGCTTTGTCTACCCTCTGTAGCCTCCCGGAATAGCAGCCAGCTGGAGCTGCTAAAGCCTTTGGCCAAAAGGACTTGGGTGAGCTGCTGGTCACCTCAGCTTCTCCAAGTAGGCTCCTGGGGCCCTCAGGCCTCTATGGTTTGGAGCAGGAAGCATCCAGACTCTTCATGAAGGATAAAACTCTGAGGCTGGAGTAACCCTTGACTTCATGGAGAAAGCACTAGAATAACTCTGTGACCCCCCGCCCCAACTCCTCATAGCTGATGTGAACCATAAGGCTACACCTCCTGGGCCTCTCTATCTGCTGACTCTGGAGACCGAGGGGGGAAGTAGGAACAAGCTAGCCTTCCAGAGTGCCAGGTTCCACTGCAGGCACATGTAGCAGAGTCAAAGTGTAGGAGTCTGGACAGTAGTTCTATTCCTACTGTAAGGCCTGGGAGTCACCAGCTGTGGGATGCCTCATCCCTAACCAGCTTGAGGGTCAGAAGGCCCAAACCAGTAAAAAAGATACTTTCTGAGAGCCAGCCTGGGTCTGCCTGATGGTCTTAGCAACAGCAGCTGAAACATGATCTGGAGATGACCTGGACCATGTCACACCAGCAGATGCATATTCATCAGACCTCCCCCAGGGTGGGGTGGAGGGTATATAAGGCTTGCCTCTTCCTGAATAAACTGAGCTTGTTGTTTTGACATTCTCCCGGTGTCTGTGTGGTTTGACTCTGCGCCTACTTGGCCCCGCCCCCAAAGGGAACAACAGCGAGGACCCTGCTACAACCAGCCAACCACATTGTAATCAGCTTCATGTCTCTATCCCCTGGCCCTCACTTTAATAAAGACTTGTCCAGAGGTTCTGTACTCAGTTTGAAGTTAGCCTTTGAATCATAATTGGTGTGACCATTATCTGTGACCTTGGGAAATGTTTCTACCTTCACAGATCCAGGTTCCTCCTTTTAAATGTGTGGGTAAGAACAGAATGTATCTTATAAATTTGGCAATGCATACAGTGTGGGGTGCCACAGAGGCTCTCTAATAAGGCCTTACTCAAGATCAGAAAGTCTGGGCTTGCTTTGCCCCACAGGGCTGCATAATAGGATGATTTGGCCAACGGCATGGCTACCAGGTGTTTTGAAGGGACTACACTTGTTGATACTTCATACCTCGACCTTGACAGGGGGAGGTCTTTTGCTTCTTCCCTTGCTGATGTATAAAAAGCCCATCATGAATAAACTCGAGGCAACTGGGTATTGACCCAGGGCCCTCCCGAAGCTATCCTGTGTCTCCTTTTTTCTTCATCTACTTTTATATATCTTCCTATTATTTCCCAATTCCTCACTCCCCGTCTCAGGGACCCTTCGATAGGTGGGGGTTGAAACCCATCATTGATCCCCTGACAATACAGGGGACCAATGTTTCTGAATGTTGGGCCGTGTAACTCCCCAGCCTGCTACATCCCATCTGAACCCAGGGGTGGCTGTGAAATTAGCACCCCCACCTTCCTCTGCCTCTGCAGAGACAGCACAGGAGTATTCAGAGACAACTGCAAAGGCAGGGACAAGACAGCAAGGTGGTCAGGAAAAGTCCCCAGAAATGAGTACAAAAGGGAGCGGGAGACGTTTCCAGAACGGGGAGCCTCCGGAGAACAGACCACAGGATGACGGCTCCCGGCGCTCTGCTGAGCCAGGGCGTTCAAGTGATGAGGTGAAGAGAGGGGACCCGGAAGCGGAGCTGCAAAGTCGGCAGGATTTGCTCAATTAGGACGGAGTTATGAAACATAGAAGAATTGCAGCATAAGCACTTAATGACCCAATGTGCCACTCTGCGGGGTGTGACCGCCACTAGAGGGAGGGAGGCCGCTGTTCCAGCACCCGAGAGTCTTCGCAAACAAGCTGAGGGCAAAGGGTAATGAGGCTGGGCCCCTCGGTTCACTGATCCCCCCATGGGCTGAGCTGCTGGGCTCTGAAGGGCAGGAAGCCCTGCTGGGAAGAAGCCCTTGACAGTCCTTCAGTTGCCTGCTAAGGGATGTTATCAGATGTCTCCCTGAGCGGCTAAGGATGTGCACAGAGGCCTCTCCCTTCCCCAGAAACCCTTGCTCCTGAGTCAGGGCTAGACAGCTGGGATCAGATTCAACCGGCCGAGATCTCCTGTCATCATCGGCCACCTCCCGAGAAGCTAGCTCTCCCAGGCCAGCCGGAAGCCCCCTCCTTCCCTCTGCTGCGGAGGCAGAAGCAGCCAGGAGGGCGGGACTCACCAGTACAGGTAGTAGAAGAAGGAGAGGAGGTAGAAGGCTAGTTTACACCAGGCCTCCTTCTGACAGTAGCTCAAGGTGTCGGCGTTCATGACGACTGGTGGGTCGTAGGCCAGTTCCGAGCTGTCTGCCGGACAGTGGAAATACCTGCAGGAAAGAGGACGTGGCAGTGATGTCTCCGAGGCTCAGGGCTCCCCACACTGTCAGGCCAAGGCCCCCTAGCTTCGGACTTTTCCTTGAAAATCTGCCTCCTGCCAAAGTCAGATTCCAAGGATTGCTATAGTGCAACTCGGCCAGAACCTTCTGGCGGGTGTTTAAGTCCTCCAGCAGATCTCTGGTGTCATATAAAAGCGCTCTGGCAGGAGAAAACATGTCGCCCAGTATTATGGTCTGAATGTGAACTCTCCCCCAGGGGCTCATGTGTGGGTACACTTGGTACCAAGCTAAATAGCGCTGTGTGTATGTATGTGGGGAGGGGATATGGAACCTGTAGGAGGTAGGGCTTCACGGGAGGAAGTGGAGAACGTTATAGAACAGTCCCACTTCCGGTCCCAGCTCTCTGATTCATCTTCCAAGATGTAACAAAGAACAGGACAAGTTCCTGCTGTCACAGACGCAGCCCCAGCCACCATGCCTTCTCCACCACGGCAGGCTGTATTCCCTTAAGTTATGAGCCCAAATAATGCCTTCCTGCTTCAGGTTGATTCTGATAACCTGGTATCCCTGGGAAGTACCAAGAGCTCCCTCTGGGTACAGACGGTGTGGAAGAATTGTATCCCCCACCTCCTCAGCATCTATATTCTGCCTTGAGTACTAAGTGTCTTGGGCTTGCCCCTTTCTCAAGCTCTCATCTAAACTCCTAAATACCTTGGAGAGACATTATAGAGTTATCATTAAGGGTATGGGTTCTTTTGTTGTTGTTGTTGTTTGTTTGAAAGAGGGGCCTAGAGGAGCAAATAGAGGATTGACCATCTTTGGGGAAGCTGGGAAAGAGAACTGTAGGTCTAAGAGTCATCATCAAAGGCCACAGCTGCTGACCAAGGCCAGGGGTCATGTAACATCTGGGTCCCTCATCAGTGTCTATGGCTCTTAATTCATGTCCCACCAACATCTTCAGGGCAGATCTTCCCTGTGGAGCCCAAGATCCTAGTGCAGTTGGAATGGCCAAGTGCTGCTCTTTGGCCACTGTGGGAAAGGATCCTGGGAGACAGAGGTCCAGACTGCCTCTCCTGTCAGGCCTGGAATAGCAGCGGTTGGTTCTCCGCCCTGAAGAAGCACCAGGCATGGGCCTGACCTGAATACTGCCATGTGAGCAGACACCTGCAGAGCTGGCGTCTCAAGTCACCTCATCCTCCCCCTTCAGAGAATTGCATCGGCATGATCTGTCACCGACACTATGCTAAGAGGACATCAGAAGCCAGATTCGATGACAGCTGCCAGCTCACAGCCCTTGGGCCACTCACCTCTCCTCTCCTCCAGAGCAGATTTCAAACCTATTTGCTGTCACTGTGGCTTTGTTCCCAGGTGACCTCATTAAGCCGAGGCAGAGCAACAGGGTGACCAAAATGACTTGGTGGAAAGGCCTAAGACTGACTCTTTTGCTTGCTGCTCACCAGGCTGTCCTTCCCTGGGTCAGTCATCAACCCAGCCTGGGCTCAGCCATAAAACGGGGATGAAAATTGTGATGCTGATGTAAGGTGATGTATGCAAGTAGCCTCCCCCAAACAGCCACTGAAAAGTGGTGGCCAGGCAGGTTTGACTGAAGCAGAGTGTGAGGGTAGACTTGTCTGCAAGAGAGACATGGCATTAAAACCTGACAGAAGGGAGGCAGACAGGTCAAGGCTATTAGTTCAGTCTATTACACGCTGCAAGCAGAGGACCTCGGTCCAGGACCCAGAACTCATGGTAATGCTGGGCATGGTGACGTGAGGTTGTAATTTCAGGGCTGGAGATGTCAAGACATATGCTCCTTGGGGCTCACAGGCCAGCCAGCCTAGCCTACTTAAGTGAGTTTCAGGCCACCAAGAGGTTTTGTTCCACTACCCACCACCACCATCCACAGGTAGATGGTACTACATGAGGAACTACATGGGAAGTTGTCATCTGAACTCCATACATGCACATGTACATGTGCCTGTATATACATAAACACATGGGATTGGGGGAGGGGCAGACAGAGAAAAGGAAAAGAGAGGAGGGGGGGTATTCTAGGACTCTAGGTATTTCAGGACTGTGTCTTCAGTCTGTCTGTCTTTTGTGATCTGATAACTTCCTAAGAGTAAGCAGGCTAGGCCACCAGAGATCCAAGAACCAAGACAAGGTCTTTACAGGCAATGAGACCAGGGCTGCTCCTGACCTCCATGTGCGGAGACATTCCAGGTGTGGGGACAATGGCCAGCTCTCCTTTTCCTCCCTTGGGACAAGCGCTAGATCTCAGAATAGAGCACAAATCCAGCGTTCACCAGCTGATTGCCTTTTCTGTATTTTTGTGGGGTTGGAGGTAGAGCCCATGGCTGCATGTACAGTAAGCACATGATTTCCCCCCAGCCACCTCCCCAGCCACGGACCACATTTTGCTAGGCTTCATCGACAGACCATGACTGAAAGACCCTCGGGAGAAATTTCTTTTGGAGGGAGAACATCCAGCCTGGGGCTGGTGTGAGGTGGAGAGGGCACAGATGGGCTCTCACAGGCGAGGTGAACCATCACCATCATGGCCATCTACTTCAGAGGCTTCCTCTCCCTCACCCACAGCCAACCATTGGCCAAAGCCTGTTCAGTTTACTTCCGAAGTTCTGTTCTCTCTCCATGCCAGGACCCATCTCCATTATCTCGTCTCCTTTATTTCTTCACCTGGAGTTTTGTCGTGTTCTTAATTAGATTTTGACTTCAGCACATCTCTGCTGGCCCATCCTTCACACTCTGCCAGAATCACCTTCTAAAGCTCTAAAGCAATTCCATTTTCCTCTAGAACTTCTCATGGCTTTCCAGTCCTCCAGTCCCAAGCTCCCCATCAAATCTTCTTGGACTCTCCATATGAGATTCCCAGCTGCTCATCAACTGCACCCTCCAAGAGCCCCTTCCCAACCATGCAGAAAGATAAAAATTGTTCCCCAAAGATGCCAAGTGTTCTCTCACTTATGGGCATTTGCACATGCTTTTCTGGATTTTTCTACACTCTTCAGACTAACTTAAGTGTTTCTTTCTCTACATTCCTACACATCGTCTTCAGATGTCTGTTAAGAACATAATTCCTTCTGCTTCTAGGATGTACCTAGGATAAAGATTCAGACATATTTTCATCTAGAAATTCCCCCTCAGTGCCTAGAAAGTAGTATATGCTCCATACATTTGCTAGTGACATAGTGGAATGTTCTAGGTGTGGATAATTCAAAGCTATACTTTATGGGAAAGTGGCAAAGATGGACCAACTGGCTTGGGGGCCCAGAGCTCTGGGATTACAGGGTTCGAGGAAGGCAATTGAGCCACACAGTTTCAATCTCCACTTCTCTGGTATTTCCCACATCTGCTCTATATCCGTCCTACATAAAACCCACACCATGTAATCCAAAGCTCAGTCTTAGAGGCGAATAGTTAATATCATAACTGCCCCTAGGGAATTTGTGCAACTGGTAGGTGCTTTTTTTTTTAAAAAGGAAACAATTTAAACATCATAAAGTTTGCCATTTCAAAGTGTATACACAATTCAGTGAGTTTTGGTGTATTTATAAAGTTGTGCATCTATTACCACTATCTAACTTCAGAGCATTTTCATTACTCTTATCCTCAAAAAAAAAAAAATTGCCCCCTGGCAGTCATTTCCTGTTTCCCCTCAGCCTTTAGAATGTACTAGTTTACTTTAAGTCTCTATAGATTTGACTGTTCTGGAACTTTCATATCAATAGACTCATATAATGTGTGACCATTGGGTGTGATATCTTTAACTTCTATTTTCTTTGTGGCGATCCACACTGTAGCACATTTAAGTACTTTCTGTCTTTGTGTCTTTTTAACTCCCTTTACCCATTCATCAGCTAATCGGCATCAATGTTGTTTTCATGTTTTGAATACAGTGAATAATGTTAGAGCTGCTTTTCATATTAACCCTTATGACTGGGGTTGATTAACAGAGTCAAGAGGACTTACTTCCATCTCTGGAGAATAAATTTGTTCTAGGTAGCTTTGTTTGTCAATTTGACACAACTTATAGTCATCTCCCAGGAGACCTTAACTGAGGAACTGCCTAGATCATACTGACCTTTGGGCATGTCTAGGGATTGTCTTGACTGTTGACCGATGTATGAGGGCCCAGCCTATTGTAGGTAAGTGGTACCATTTCCTGGTCAGGTGGTCCTGAGTTATGTAAGAAAGCTAGCTAAACATGAGTCTGTCAGCGAGCCAGCAAGATACAGTCTTCCGTTGTTTCTGCCTTCAAGCTTCTACTTGAATTCCTGCCCCTCAATAATGGGCTGTCACTGATAGCCTGTTCCTTCCCTAAAGTCCCTTGCTCAGAGTTTTGATCACAACAGAATTGTATCTCTAACAAGGTCTCTAAAAGAAAAGAATGAAAGGAAGGCACCTAGTGGCTGATCTATCTGGGCACACTGTCATTGGGTGGGAAACTGAAGGAGGATGGCCCAATCCCAGACAGACAGACAGACAGATAGACAGACAGACAGACAGACAGACAGGCCTACCTCCAGAAGTGATAGAAAAGCAGCGGAACGTTCAGCCCCAGGGTGAGCCACTCCTGAGCACACAGGAACATGATGCAGAAGAGGCTGTGGATAGAGTACTCCGGCAGCACCAGCTGGAGAGGGAGCAGAGACACACACAGGCCTGGTGAGAGGGAGGAAGCACCCCACCCACTCACGGGCTCCCATGCAAAGGTCTACCCTGCAGCATAGCCATTTCCCTGTGACTGAACACTTCAGGAAGATGCTCCGTGTTTCAGACCCAATCCCAAGTAGACACAGGCCCTCTGCACTTGCCTAGGAAAAAGGGAGGTTACCCAGCCTAGGGGCTGCCTGGAAAAACTAGCAGTGTTCTCTGTCACCTGCCACCTGCCTTGCTCTGTGTTTCTGGCTCCTCTGTGCCCTCCTCTAGCTAATAGGTGTGTTTATTCCCAATACAGGAAGGTCTCGGGAGTTCCTAATACAGAAAGGCAATGGCTGGTGATGGGAAGGTCGAGAAGAACCAGAGAGGAATGTCAAGTAGCAATGGTGAAGACAGGCAGCCTCTATGTGAAGGGAGAGAGAGAAGCTCAGGGTCAGGGGGCCAGCTGGAAGAGGGGCACCTCTCCTGGGTGGGCACTTGTGGCATAAATGAACTGTAAGCTAAAGATAACTAGGAGGTGGGAATTCAACCCCTTCCAGTAAGGAAAGCTACAGGTGTGCAAACACACTCACGTAGGCAGAACACACATACACAAGCATGCGTGTTCACGGCCTGTGGAGCTCACTTAGACCTTCACGGATGCTCTGGTCTTCCAACACACTCTCTCTTTCAAGGGCCATCTCAAACTTGTTTCTAAGGGAATCCCTGCCCATCCTCTCCTCTCATCCACATACCTGATCCCTTTTATAAACTTCTATAAAAAAGAAATACTTAAGTTTTAATTCACTGACTAAAAAGAATATTACGTGTGTGTGTGTGTGTGTGTGTGCGTGTGTGTGTGTGCATGCGCGCACGCGCACCCACGTTCTCACATCTGTGCTATAGTACATGTGTGGAGGACAGAAGACAATTTGTGGGAAACAGTTCTCTCCCTCCACCATGTGGGTCCTGGGGAAAGGACTCAGATAATCAGGCTTTGTGGCAAGTATTTTTTTTTTTTACCTGCTGAGCCAACTCACCAAACCTGCCATAGCCATGTTTGCTGACCCACCCATAGAGACCATCCCACAACCTGTCTATATGGGGTTCTTGCCCACGCCTGACACACATGTATATACTCAAGCACTCCATAATCTGACTCAGCCAAGGTCTATCTTATTCCAGTCTCCTTTTGCAATGTGCTTTGCATGTTTCCCAATACATGTGACCAAATGTACTGGGCTGACTAGTCACACATGTCTACAGCATGGGTAGTTGCGGTCTGTGGTCACAGCCCTGGATTTCTATGGATGGGAACAACTGCTTCAGATCAATCTGCTTGGGTACAGAACATAGCTTTAGCCTCTCACTGTAGGCAGATGAGCTGCCTGACCAGTTGGCCCCTGTAGAAGATAATCACACATTAAAAACAAATGCATGGGTTGAGGATTTAGCTCAGTGGTAGAGCACTTGCCTATCAAGCACAAGGCCCTGGGTTCCGTCCTCAGCTCCAGAAAAAAAAAAAAAAAAAAAAAAAAGCACATACAGGCACACATGGGAGAAATGTATTTTGTAACTGGGGGCCATCTTTGTTATCACCATCTGGTGGAAAGCGAACTGCATTAACCTTAAGTTACTCAGTCAGTGAGTAACTTGGACTCAGAGTACAAGTATCATTCCTCCAGGGTCATGAATTCAGGGGTGAACCAGGCACTGTCTGCGTCTATGAATCTCAATTGTGTGGTAGGAGAGGGGGGCATCTGCCACCATTTCTCCTTAGAGGACCTCAAAGCTGTCCTGGCCGGTGTCACCTGTACCCAGCAGGTTATCATTCAGCTGCCTCCCATGCAGGGAGAAAGCCCACATTATTGGAGCTAGCATGCCAGCCTTGCTCTGCCACGTACATCTCTACATTTTGTAACCATCGCTTCCAAGCACTTATGCCAAGTAATTAACATGTTTAGAGACAGCTACTTGGGGCCTGAATCATCCATTACAGCTCTATTCCCGTCTCCAATGCCAATGGCAAACCTCTGAATGATGACAGTTCAGAATTCATGTCCCCCTGTCAATCACACTGCTCCTCTTTCTTTGGGACTTGATTGATAGTGGAAGCTGTGACAAGTGGGGAGAATCTGTCACTATCCCCTGTGTGGAGGAAGCTGCTTAATAGAGGCCAGCTCGCCTTTTAGGGGTGAGAAGAAAAGCTAACAAATCCTTCTGCTATTCTGCATGGCTCTTCCAACTGCCTCTGAGTATCTAAAACACTGAGCAGGCTCCTCCCCTTAGCCCTAGGAGACTTCACGTAGCAGCAATGCCCTTGTGGTATACTTATTGTCCCCCATGTTCCTCTGGGCATCCCTTGTCACACTGATATGGACAACATAAGGACCTTATTCCTCCCAGACCAGATGGAGCTTAGCCAGGCCACCTGCACTGGTCTTGTACCATGGCTCCTCTACACCATCCCCTCCTTTCCACTTCTTGGCCTTTGGAGCGTAAGATATTGTGTCCCAGATCCCAGCAGTTGGGAGGGGCCCCATGGGCTGTGAGTGGAAACTCTATGAGACGCCCGGAACACTTAACAGCCAATGAAAAATGCCCCAAAGTCTTATTTTGTTCTCTCTGACATTGCAAAGCACAGTTACAACAATGGGTATACTCCATCATCCTGACACCATAGGAAGGAGAGAGGCCCCCAGGCAGCCTGTGACGGGGGGGTGAGAACAAGACAGAAACTCTTGTTGTTCTGAGCCACCGAGAGCCCTGCGTTGCTTTTCGCTACGACGCACTTTGCTCCATCTGATGTAGTCAGAGCCCCAGAATGAGAAATCAATGAGAAAAGCAAAGCTGTGTGTGCCTTCCCTCTTCATCCTCCCTGAGCGTCCTCCCAGACCTTTGTTTAACAAGCCACTGAGGATGCTGTGACATGCTCCTGTCACTGGGCATGTTGAGCGCTAGGCGAAAGGCCACCAGGCAGGCATAATGCTTATTCATTCTGGTGGGCGACCAGCTGGGTGGCTCCCTCCCAGCTCAAAGAGAATAATTGCTAGATATGCAATTATTTCCCTGGTAGGTTCAAGATGCCCTACCCTTGAACCTACCAGAGAAAGTACAGAAGAGTTGATTGAAACTCTGACCATAACCCTGGCCGGTGTCATCCCTTAGCACTGGCAGGTAGATACTGTTTTCTATAACAGAGCTGTTGAATAGCACCAATACCCCTGGCCAGTATCATCCCTTAGCATTGGCAGATAGATACTGTTTTCTGTAACAAAGCTGTTGAATGCCACTGATACCTGCGATTCACTGAATGAATTATAAATAGAAACCACTTCATGCAGGCCACAGTCTGCTGAGACCCCAGGTCCTGCTTTCTGTAGTTATAAATAGTGAAAGTGGTCTCACTATAGACATCGTAGGGTTGTTGAAAAGGTGGCAGTTGAAGCCAGGCAGGCTTGCCTGCACACACCTATGATCCCAGGCTAAGGGGGCAGCTATGTAGTGAGATCTGGTCTCAAAAAAAAAAAAATCTAACAAGCAAAAGACAGCAATGAATGCCAACTCAGGAAGGCCAAGGCTTTATGATCAAGGCAGGACCCAACACTGTTGGAAAGGCAGAACAGACCTAACTAGGCATGGAAACCAGACGTCTGCATTCTAGAAGATAGGGCTAGAAAAACCAAAGACAGGGGCTGAGGAGATGGCTCAGACTAGAGCTTGGATCCACAGAAACCCACATGATGTCAGGCGGGCATGGTGGCCCACCTGTAATCCAGCCTCAGAAGGAGGTAAAAAGGGATCTTCAGAGCAAGCTAGCTAACAAGACCAGCCATAAGGGACAAGCTCTGGGCTTGACTGAAAAATCCTGCCTCAATGTCGAAGAAAGAAAAGTGACTGAAGATGATACCCACCATCAACCTTGTATCTCTACATACTCGTGCATACGTGGGCATGTGTACCCACACACACATGTGCCCATACATATGCAAAAACATGTACACATGCATATATACACATATATTCTCTCTCTCTCTCTCTCTCTCTCTCTCTCTCCTCTCTCTCTCTCTCTCT